TAAAAGTAGAACCTGGTGCCCCAGAAGGGAAGACATCGGGGAACCTAAAAAGGGGTCTCTGATAATTACCTGCCAAGATTTCACAGCGAAGGGCATCTCCATGTAATGCCGAAAAAAAAAAAAAGAAGAAGAAAGAAAAAAGGCTAGAAGTTTTAGAAGGTTCTTCTTCATCCATTCTGCAATTTCACTCGATTTTACCCAAAAGCAGAATTCTGCTCCCTACATTGCATGAATCTGTATATAGAACAGGTGGCCCCAGCAAGGATGGTTGCAAAAAGGAATTCCTGTAAATTGCTCTTTATTATAAAAATCAGAGAGCTGCCAGGTGCAGTGGTTCACGCCTGTAATCCTAGCACTTTGGGAGGCCAAGGCGGGCAGATCACAAGGTCAGGAGTTCGAGACCAGCCTGGCCAACACAGCGAAACCCTATCTCTAATAAAAATATAAAAATTAGCAGGGTATGGTGGCAGGCACCCAGGTGTTCAGGAGGCTGAGGCAAGAGAATCGCTTGAACCCGGGAGGCGGAGCCAAGATTACGCCACTGCACTCCAAGCCTGGGTGACAGAGTGAGACTCTGTCTCAATAAATAAATAAATAAAAATAAAAATAAAAATCAGAGAGCTAATTTCACAAAAAAAATGTAACTCCCTATTGGCCTGAGTTAGAAGTATTTGGGCTTCAATATATTGGGAGGAAGGAAATATGTATAACTATAATTGTGTACACACACACACACACACACACACACACACACAGAGGCATGGTGGGGGAATGAATGTGGAATGGTTAGAGTGAAATCAAGAGCAAGTTCAGAATAGATTTCTCTGGATAGTAAAAATAAAAAATGAGGCCCGCCACTGTGGCTCGTGGTCATAATCCCAGCACTTTCAGAGGGTGAGGCAGGAGGATGGCTTGAAGCCAGGAGTTCAAGAACCAGCCTGGGCAACATAGCAAGATCTCATCTCTCAAAAAAAACAAAAAATTAGTCAGGTGTGATGACATGCACCTGTAATTCCAGCTACTCAGGAGGTTGAGGCGAGACGATCTCTTGAGACCAGGAGTTCAAGGATTCAGTGAGCCGAGACTGTGTCACTTCATTTCAGCCTGGGTGACATAGTGAGACTCTGTCTCAAAAAAAATCAAATAAAATTCTTATTCATTTCATTATGTTTTTTCATATTTCATTGCTTTCATAGGTTATTTGTTAGTTTAAGAGAAGTATTAAGGCGTGAAGAGTAGTGAAAAATTTTCCCAGTCCCAGGCTTATGTACACAATGTTTCTGTAGCATTTTTTGAACACCATCATTTCTGTTCAGACATATGTAGGCAAGTCACCTGGAAGCCGAGAGCTAATCCTAGCCCGGCAATCAGTGGTTCTTTCCAGACAGGTCAGGCACAGTTGCTCACACCTAAAATCCCAGAGCCTTGGGAGGCCAACCTGGGAGGACTGTTTGAGCCCAGGATTTTGAGACTAGCCTGGGCAACATATCAAGGCCCTGTCTCTACAAAAAATTTAAAAAATTAGCCAGGCCTGGTAGCACATGCCTGCGGTCCCAGCTACTCAGGAGGCTGAAGCAGGAGGATTGTTTAAGCCCAGGAGTTCAGGGTTGCAGTGAGCCATGATGGTGCCACTGTACTCTATCCTGGGTGATAAAACAAGACCCTGTCTCAAAAAAAAAAAAAAAAAAAAGCAGGGCGCAGTGGCTTATGCCTGTAATCTCAGCACTTTGGGAGGCCAAAGCAGGTGGATCATCTGAGGTCAGGAGTTCAAGACTAGCCTGGCCAACATAGTGAATCTCCATCTGTACTGAAAATACAAATAAATTAGCTGGGCATGGTGGTGGGCACCTAAAATCCCAACTACTTGGAAGGCTGAGGCAGGAGAATCACTTTGTTTATCCATCTAACCAATGATGGACATTTATTTTTCACTTGTGAGCTTCATGAGGGCATTGACCTTGCCTTTCTTTTTTTTTTGAGATGGAGTCTCGCTCTGTCGCCCATGCTGGAGTGTAGTGGTGTGATCTCAGCTCACTGCAACCTCCGCCGCCTCCCAGGTTCAAGCAATTCTTATGCCTCAGCCTCCCAAGTAGCTGGGACTGCAGGCACGCACCACCATGCTTGGCTAATTTTTTGTATTTTTTTTTTTTTTTTTTGGAAACAGAGTCTCGCACTGTCACCAGGCGCCAGGCTGGAGAGCAGTGTTGCGATCCTGGCTCACTGCAACTTCTGCCTCCCTGGTTCAAGCAATTCTCCTGCCTCAGCCTCCCGAGTAGCTGGGACTACAGGCACGCACCACCACACCCAGCTAATTTTTTAGCAGAGACGGGTTTCACCATGTTGGCCAGGATGCTCTCTATCTCTTGACCTTGTGATCTGCCCACCTCGGCCTCCCGAAGTGCTGAGATTATAGGTGTGAGCCACCGCGCCCAGCCGCCTCTCTTATTTACCGTAGTATTCCACCACCCAGCACCCAGCACAGAGAGTGGTTCACAGCAAGCACTCAACACATATTTATTAAATGAAAATGTAAGTGGAAAAATCAATAAATGTTTTATTTTTATTTTATTTTTTCAGACAGGATCACACTTTGTCACCTAGGCTGGTGTACAGTAACACAATCATGGCTCACTGCAGCCTTAACTTCCTGGGCTCAAAGGATCCTCCCAATCTCAGCCTCCCAAGTAACTAGGACTACAGGCATGTGCCGCCATGTATGGTTTTAAAAAAAATTTTTTTTTAGAGACAGGGTCTTGCTATGTTTCCCTGGCTGGTCTCAAACTCCTGGCCTTTAGCGATCCTCCTGCCTCAGCTTACCAAGGTGCTGAGATTACAGGCATGAGCCACCGTGCCCATCCACATATTTTCATATTGAGTCAATGACATGTGTGACAGTGAAGAAAGAATGAGTGACCCTGGTTTTGCAACCAAGGGGTCATTCAGTAATGGGGAGGAATAAGATGGGCAACCAGCGACTCCCAGGCCAGCCATGCTGGAGACCCACCATTATGTTCTTTAGGGCCACCAGCAAGAGATGGAGCCAGATAAGCTCTGGTGATGGAGGCTTGGGAACATGGGGTTAGCACAGTCATTTGCTGCTGGGACCAGTGGTATCTAGTAGCACCCACTGTTTAGCCAGCTAGGGGAGGAGATGTCCAAAATGACCGAGACATCTCCTTCCTGGGGGAGTTAGGAGAAAACTCCGCTTCTCCAAGCTCTTGTGGCAAGGCCTGACGCTGTCAGGGAAGCCCATGGACATCTGCGGGCTTAACTGTGTCTATGTGATGCTGTGCTTCAGCGGTCCCGTTCCATGCCCACTCTCACGCCCTGCTTCTGCACCTGGTTTCTCTTTTTCTCAGAAGATAAGAATTAATGTCCTTGACATTTGTGACAAATATGTGAAGAGCGCTGATGCATTAGGTTTTCTCCTCCCCTCGGCTGCTTGAAAGTCCTGGACCCCCTATCTCCAAGACACGTGATCGACCTGACCCTGTCACCGACCACCATTACCTAACCCTACCTTCCCTGCCCCCTGCTTTGTGCTCAATAAAAGTCAGAGTGTCCAGGCACTCGGGGCCACTGCAGGTCTCCGCGCTTTGGTTGGCAGTGGACCCCCGAGCCCAAACTCTCTCTTCTCTTTCTCAATGTCTTGTGTCTTTTATTTCCAGTTTCTTGTCTCTGTACCAGCAGAGAGGGGCTCACAGGACCCTGTAGGGCTGGACCCTATAAAACAATATGACGATTCCTCGAAGAACTAAAAATAGAACTGCCCTTTGGTCTTGCAATCCCGCTGCTGGGTATATACCTAAAGGAAAATAAATCACTATATTAAAAACACACCCACACTTACATGTTTCTGGCAGCACTATTTACTGTAGCGAAGTTTATGAAATCAACTTATGTGCCCATCAACAGATGATTAGATGTTAAAATGTGGTATAGAAGCCAGGTGTGGTATAGATTACACCCCTGTAATCTCATCATTTTGGGAGGTCGAGGTGGGAGAATTGCTTGAGTCCAAAAGTTCAAAACCAGCCTGGCAGCACAGCAAAACCCTGTGTCTACTACTACTACTAATAATAATAATAATTAGCATGGTGGCAGGCACTTGTAATTCCAGCTATTCAGGAGGCCCAGGTGGTGGAATCACCTGAGCCTGGGAGGCAGAGGTTGCAGTGAGCTGAGATTGTGCCACTGCGCTTCAGCCTGGGCAACTGGAGTGAGACGCTGTCTCAAAAAAACAAGTTTGTGTGTGTGTGTGTGTGTGTGTGTGTGTATGAAAAGTAAACACTTACATAATGCTTACTGGCTGTCAGCCACAGTGCTAAGCACTGTATTCAACCTTTGGTGATGATAGATACCCTTTGGTGATAGGTATATATACTATCTAGAGAGGTCACATAGATATGTTATCTAGAGAGTATATATATATATATATATCACATAGATATGCTATCTAGATATCATATATATATATATATATATATATAGCATTTATCTAGGTAGCATATATGTATACTGTATATAATATATATATATAATATATATATGTATCACATAGATATGTTACCTTCCAGTAACATGACGGAGTCTCACTCTGATGCCCAGACTGGAGTGTAGTGGCACAATATTGGCTCACTGCAACCTCTGCTTCCTGGTTCAAGCAATTCTCTGCCTCAGCCCCCCCAGTAGCTGGAATTACAGCCTCCTGCCACCATGCCTGGCTGTTTTGTAATTTTAGTAGAGACAGGGTTTCTCCTACTTGGCCAGGCTGGTCTTGAACACCTGATCTTGTGATCCATCCTCCTCGGCCTCCCAAAGTGCTGGGATTACATGCGTGAGCCACCGCACCCGGCCGATGATGGGATCTTTCTCAAGGAGTCAGGATTCCAACGCGCTTGGGCCAAGTTCCAAAGCAAAGCTTCCATCCTACTCCTCCCCCACCTCTGGAATTCCACCTTCCTTCTGGCGCCCATCGCTATGGTGACGGGCGCGCTCTCAGTTCACTCACTCTACAGGCCAGGAAAGAGTTGTGTGTTGTTGGGGTCCCCTCCGCTCCTCGTAGGGGTCCCAGGGCAGGCCGGGGGACCAAGCAGGGACCATGCCCGTGTTGGCACCCCCGGCTGATCGCAGCCAGGACGCCCGCATTGGGGCCCCAGCATGGCGCGAGGAAGTTCAGGCCATGGCGAGGGCCGCGCACATTCTGACCGACCGCTGCGGGCAGGAGGCGGTGACCATGTGGCAGCCCAAGGACACTGTGCTGGACCCGAACCTGGCGCACCACCTCGGCCGCGCCGCCTACATCCAGCCCTGGCGCTTCCGCGTGGAGATGCTCAAAGGCGGCGGCACCTTGGAGAAGCCGCCACCCGGCGAGGGCGTCACGCTTTGGAAGGGCAAGATGAAGCCTCCGGCTTGGTATGCCCGCCTGCCGCTGCCCCTGCACCGCCAAGCGCGCGCCCTGCAGACTGCCGAGATGGTGCACGCGCACGCGCGTGGAGCGCGCCTCACCGCCGCCCGCCTCGGCCGCGCGCAGCACCAGATTAACGGGCAGGTGCGACAGCTGCTGCGCCAGCGCGAGGTCACCGACCACAGGCTCAGCGAAGTGCGCAAGGGTCTGCTTATTAACCAGCAGAGCGTCAAGCTGCGGGGCTACAGGCCCAAGTCTGAGAAGGTGGGACCTTCCCCCCCAACCTCAGCCTAATTGCAAAGACAGAGGCTTCCGCTATGCGGTGCTCACCCTCAGAAAAACCCTTTCCATACTTTGGGAGGCCGAGGCTGGTAGATCACCTAAGGTCTGGAGTTCGAGACCAGCCTGACCAACATGGTGAAACCCAGTCTCTGTTAAAAATACAAAATTAGCCTGGTGGCGCATGCCTGTAAAATCTCAGCTACTTAGGAGGCTGAGGTAGAAGAATCGCTTGAACCCGGGAGGCGCAGGTTGCAGTGGGCCGAGATCGCACCATTGCACTCCAACCTGGGCAACAAGAGTGAAACTCGCTCAAAAAAAAAAGAAAGAAAGAAAAGAGCCGTTCCACAGAGAAAACACCCAACTCCAGTGAATAAGAGGCAAGAAGATGAGGGCCAGGTGCAGCAGCTCATGCCTGTAATCCCAGCACTTTGGGAGGCCTAAGTGGGAGGATCGCTTAGGGCCAGGCCTTGAAGGCTAAAGTGAGCTATGATGACACCACTATGCTCCAGCCTCAGTGACAGAGTGAGAACCTGTCTCTACCAAAAATTTTAAAAAGTTAGCTGGGTGTGGTGGTGCACACCTGTAATTCCAGCATTTTTCAGCAGGAGACAGGAGGATTGCCTGAGGCCAGGAGCTGGAGACCAGCCTAAGCAACATAGTGAGACCCCCATCTCTACAAAATAATAATAATAATAATTAATGGTTCAGTGTGGTGGCATGCACTTATGGTCCCAGCTACTTGGAGGCTGAGGCAGGAGGATTGCTTGAGCCTGAGTTTGAGGCTGCAGTGTGCTATAATCAGGCCAACTGCAATCCAGCCTGGGCAACATAGTGACATCCCATCTCTCCAAAACTTGGAGGGACATTAGCCAGGTGCCGTAGTTTGTGCTTGCAATCCCAGCACTTCAGGAGGCCAAGGCAGGAGTATTACTTGAGGCCAGGAGTTTGAGGCCAGCCTGAGCAACACAGTGAGTCCCTGTCTGTACCAAAGTTTAAAAAACAATACCCAGGCATGGTGGTGCATGCCTCTAGTCCCAGCTACTTGGGAGGGTGAGGCAGGAGGACTGTTTGAGCTCAGGAGTTCAAGGCTGCAGTGATCTATGATAGGGCCACTACACTTCAGCCTGGGAGACAGTGAGACTCAAAAACAAACAAAAAAAAGATGACGGAGATAGGCCCAAGGAGAGATGCCTAAGACCCTAAGACCCAAAGAGTGAGCCCTGCCCAAGGAGCCAAGATGCTCAGCTTCCCTGTCCCAGAGGAGAAAAATATCCAAATCTCTCAGTCAAAGAGGGAGAGTGCAGTCCCTGATTCAGACTCCATGAAAATCTCCTCCAAAATAAAACCCATAGCCCTCAGCCCAGGCATAAAATCATCCACCCAGATCCCAGGCCCAGAGGGTAAGACCCTTCCAGAGGTGTGAGACCCTTATGCCCAGTCCTAGTGAAAATATACTCCCAACTCCCAGCTGAGGAGAGCAGCTGAGGAGAGGTCCCAACCCAGGTGAAACTCCCCCCAGTATGTGAAATAAGACCCAGCTCCCCAAACTTAAAGAAGTGAAAATCCCTCCTCAGGCCTCATCTGTGGAGAAAGGAAGAAGTCCTCCCTCGAGAGTGAGACTTCAGACTCCCAGTCCTCACACCCAAAAGTTAAGCCCCTGTCCAGGGAGAGAGGGTGAAACCTCTAGTGGTGAAATCCTCCCCCTAACGTGAAACCCCAAATCCCCACCCCAAAAAGTACGAAAATTCCAGCCTCCCAGGGGAGAGATTAAACCCCACCCACAGAATGGGATTCCTACCCCCAGCCCCCAGATCCAAATATTAAGACTCCAAAAAGGTAAACCCTCATCATCCCTATGATATGATTCCTCCACCTGTAGCCAGGGAGAGGTGATAAGACCATTACTGGGGAAGTGGTGCCTAGTTCCCAGCCTCAGGGGGTGAGAACCCTCCCCCAACTTGAGACACCCTCATCTCAGCCCCCTGGGCTCCTATCTGTAAAAGAGAGAAGCCCCCAGCACCATGCTCCAGAGGGCAAGACCCCCCCCAAGTGAGAGAACCCACTGAAAGGATCAAACCTTCTCAAAGAGAGAGACACCCTCTCAAAAAGAGAGACATGCCTTCATCCTTCAAACTTCATCCTTCAAACTCAGAGTTTATGATGCTGGCAAGCCCTCTACTACCCTGGAAAGAGAAATCTCTTCCCAGCACTTTCCCAAGGATGTGAGGGATTCTCTCCTTGTTTTCTAGGTCCCTGACAAGGCTGATAGTATGCTTACATGGGAGAAGGAGGAGCTGAAAAGCATGAAGAGGAAAATGGAGAGAGATATGGAAAAATCAGAGGTCCTACTCAAGGTTAGGGGTGCCTGGGGACAGTTATGGGGACTGGTATGGGATCCCTGGCTGCCTAATGGGGACTGTCACAATAGCAATTCCTTCAAGCCACACTGACCAGATATTCACTGCATTTCACTTCATGAAATGGAAAAGTGAGGCCATGGGAGATGAAGGTTGGTCTCAGAATAACAGTGAACACACACTCTGTACCATACCCTGTGCAGTCATTGAATCCACTCCTTAAGACACTCCTGTGAAGTAGAAACTATGATCCCCCCATTAGAGAGGGGGAAATTGAGACTCAGAGAGAGATGACCTCACCTAGTAAGCAAAGCCATCAATGGCAGCACTGTGGTTTCAGCCCAGGTGACTGGAGTCTAGCTCTTTGCACTCTTAACATGTGCTCCAGCTTCAGTCAGACTTGATCTCTCCATACATCCTTCGTGCTTGCAATGAGAACTTCTTCATGAGGGCACAAATGAAGGAGGGGAGCAGCCAGACTTCAGGGGGCCTTTGGGACCTGTTAGGATTTGCTGACAACCTGTGGGTGCTTTTGACTCATCCATTTGATAAATGCTAATCTGATACCTGCTTCCTAGACGCCGGGCTTTGCATCGTGGATAAAGTGGTGACTGGGAAAGAACTAGCCTTGCCCTTGAAGACTTAGCATTCTAGAGGCATCCAAAGAAAAGAGAGGCTGGGGAATTGTTTGTTTCCGATTGTGAGATTGAACTGTCAAGTCTTTTATTGTTGAACTTTCCTTGCTTTTATATAGAGAGAGCTCCTCAGCTAGACTGCATTTAAACAGGCATTGGACCTTGAAGGCAGAGGCAGTACTAAATTATATTTCACATAGCAAAGCTCAGTAAGGATGTGTTGACTTGGGGGTGGGGAGGTGGGGAGAAGAAGGGACAGGCTAGGGGCACAGGGGTTTGGACAAGGCAGGAGACTCAAGAGACTGGTGAAGCGCTGTCCGTGGTGCTGAACTAGAATAGGGCGTATCTTCTGACCACTGTCGTATTCCTTTAAATCTGGTGATTCTTGAAATACCCTTCCAGGATGTCTGAGGCAGAGAAGGGAGAAGGCCTTGCAGATGGACCTGGGAGCGAAGGGCTATAAAGAGGGAAAGGGATCATGCCTGTAATCCCGGTAGTTTGGGAGGCCAAGGCAGGAGGATTGTTTGAGGCTGGAAGTTCAAGACCAGCCTGGGCAACACAGCAAGGCCCCATATTTATTAAAAAATAAAAATAAAACTAGCCAAGCACGTTGCATGTGCCTTCAGTTCCTATTCAGGAGGCTCAGGGAGGAGCATAGTGAGCCCAGGAGTTCAAGGCTGCAGTGAGCCACGATCACACCACTGCACTCCAGCTTGGGTGAGACCCTATCTCTAAAAGAGAGAGAGAGGTGGGAAAGGACAGATGTAGACAGAGACAAAGACAGATTGCTAGAGAGAACCTGGTCTGAATATTGCTGGAGAAAAATGCTTACCACCAATCAGATTTGTTTCAACTTAAAATCATGAAGTCAAACCTCAAACTGGCACTTAGACCTTTCCCAGAGATCTTGCCTTAAGTCTCTAAAAAAGACTTTCTGACCTCCTGGGCAAGTGATTTCATACCCTCTCTTCCTTCAGTCCTCTCCAACTCCCTGTGCCTTCCTTGCTCTACAGTGATCTCAATGCATGAAAACCACCAAAGGGAAGTTTTTTCATTTCTCCTATGTCAATCCTATCATTCCACCCGTCTCCTGCATCATCCACATTTCCTTCTCTCGGCTCATTCTCACCAGAGAACAAAGGGAGAGTAATTACTTCATGGGTACGGATCTGTTTGGGATGGTGAAAAAGTTCTAGAGATAGATTGCAATCCAGCCTGGAAGACAGAGAAAGATTCTATGTAAATGAATGAAAGAAGGAGGGAAGGAATAGAACAGGTAAAACTAATCTCCAAGTCAGCTTACTGGAGGGGATGGTTGCACAAGAGCACTAATACACTTAATGCCACTAAACTGTACACTTAATAGGTTAAAATGGCAAAATGTTACATTATATATATTTTTACTAAAATAAAAAGCCCACCTCTCTTGCTGTACATGCTCCTCTAGATACTTATTTTGCTTGTTCACTGGATCTTATCTGCATGTGTCAACTTGCTCATGCTGACTCCAGGCAGGTTCCTCAGCTAGACTGCATTTAAACAAGCATTGGACCTTGAAGGCATATACACTACTAAATTATATTTCATGTAGCAAAGCTCAGTCAGAATGTGTTGACTGCGGGGTGCGGAGAAGGGGAGAAGAAGAAACAGGCTGGGGTGTATGGTGTGGACGAGGCAGGAGACTCAGGGGTTGGTGGAATGCTGTCCGTGGGGCTGAACTGGACAGCTGTCACTTTTTTTTTTTTTTTTTGAGACAGAGTCTTGCTCTGTTACCCAGGCTGGAGTGCAGTGACGCAATCTCCGCTCACTGCAAACTCCACCTCCCAGGTTCAAGCAATTCTCCTGCCTCAGCCTCCCAAGTAGCTGGGATTACAGGCACCCACACTCAGCAAATCACGCTTGGCTAACTTTTGTATTTTTAGTAGAGACAGGGTTTCACCATGTTGGCCAGGCTGGTCTCGAACTCCCGACCTCGTGATCTAACCGCCTTGGCCTCCTAAAATTCTAGGATTACAAGCATGAGCCACCACACCCAGCCTCGAAAGCTGTCTTGCTGGTCACTGTATCCCCACCACCTGGCACATCTGGCATCAGTAGAGGTTTATTTGAATTCATGAACAAAAGACTTTTAAGTCCACTTTTTAAACAAATCAATAAATCCCAAATATGTCATATTCAGAGAAAAAAGCTGGACATAAAGTGTACACACTGTAGGATTCCATTTATATGAAGTTTTAGATTCAGCAAGGTTTTTCTTCAAGGGACAGCGAGTAAATGCTTTCAGCCTTGTGTGCTGTGCAGTTTCTGTCATAACTACTCAACTTGGCCAGTGTGCCGTGAAAACAACCAGAAAAATAGTATGCACATGAATGGGCATGGCTGTGTTTCAACAAAATTTTACTTACAAAAACAGGTCACCCATCCATAGGATAGAAGTTTATCAACTCCTTAAGATCAGGCAAAACTCAGCTGGGCACAGTGGCTCACATCTGTTATCCCAGCACTTTGGGAGTCCCAAGTGGGTTGCTTGAGGCCAGAAGTTTGAGGCTGGCGTTTGAGGCCAGCCTGGGCAACATAGCAAGATACCATCTCTACAAAAAAATTTTAAAAAATAGCTGGGCATGGTAGCATGCCCCTGTAGTCCTAGCTATTTAGGAGGCTGAGGTGGGAGGATCTCTTGAACCCAGGAGTTCAGGGCCACAGTGAGCCAGGATCATGCCACTGCAATCCAGCCTGGAAGACAGAACAAGATTCTGTATAAATGAATGAATGAAGGAAGGACTAGAACAGGTAAAACTGATCTCCAGGTCAGCTTACTGGTGGGGGTCAGGGAGGGAGAGAGGGAAGGGGAGCCAGAGAAAAGTATGACATGATGGAAATATTTTATATATTGATGAAGAGTGTTTATAATGGTGTATACGTGTGCAAATGACTTGCTTTGATATAATTCTCAAATAACTGCAAATATCAAACAAATATGTTTCATTTTATTGTGGAGGAAGTAAGATTTGGACATGGGTGGGGCACTGTCCAGATGAGATAGAGCCTGGAGGGAGGGGGAACTCAGAGAACAGCAGAAGTCTCTTAATATTGATCAGAGCAGAGGAAGGCAGACTTCAAGGCCAGTGGTGGGGATGGGATGAGCGCCCGTTGAGAATCAAGGCGGTGACACAGGATGACCAAGATGTGGGTTAGTGAGTGCCAGCTCTCCATATTACAATGGGGAAATGGATGAAACAGGCTGCTTTCACAGGGTGCCAGAGCAGAGCTAGGCACAGAAACCAACCAGTGGACACCCAGCACAGGGGAGCTGTTGCTGTCTTTTACTTCTCCCCTCACCCCACCCCAAAGAGTCACTGAAGGCTTCTGAACTGGGTGAGGGGGTAGGAGATGGCTGAGCTTCAACTTGGAAATTGAGCTTCTTTCCAAGAACTATAAAAAGAGCTGGAAAGGGGCCAGGTGTGATGGCTCACACCTGTAATTTCAACACTTTGGGAGGCTGAGTCAGGAGGATCACTTGAGTCCAGGAATTTAAGACCAGCGTGAGCAACATAGCAAGACCCTGTCTCATTAAAAACAAACACACAAACAAACAAACAAACAAAAAACAGAAAAGGGTCAAGAATGAAGTGAGGAAGAAAAACAGCTTCTCAGAACCAATCCATATCCCAGCACTTTGGAAAGCCAAGGTGGGTGAATCACCTGAGGTCAGGAGTTCAAGATCAGCCTGGCCAGCATGGCAAAACCCTGTCTCTACTAAAAAATTAAAAAATTAGCTGGATGTGGTGGCACATGGCTGTAATCCTAGCTACTCAAGAGACCGAAGCAGGAGAATCCTTTGAACCCGGGAGGTGGAGGTTGTGGTGAGCCAAGTCACACCATTGCATGATCTGTCTGGAAGTGAGCAGACTCATTTTTACCTGTTATTATGCACAGTGCCATAAATAGAAGACAACTTTGTGAACAAAAAAGTGACCTTAAGACATTTCCCTAGCTGGGCACGGCAGCTCATGCCTCTAATTCCAGCACTTTGAGAGGCCAAGGTGGGTGAATCACTTGAGCCCAGGGGTTTGAGACCAGCCTGGCAACATAGTAAAACCTTGTCTCTACAAAAAAAAAAAAAAAAAAAAAATTAGCCAGTGTGGTGGCACATGTCTGTGTCCCAGCTACTTGGGGGAGGCTAAGGTGGGAGGATTGCTTGAGCCCAGGATGTCAAGGCTGCTGTGAGCTGTGATCATGCCACTGCACTCCAGCCTGGGAGACTGAGTGAGACCATATCTAAAAAAAAAAAGTTATATATATATATATATATATGTTTGTGTGTGTGTGTGTGTGTTTACATATATATTTATTTATGTAAAATTTCCCTAGATTACCTGACATCCAAGTAAACACTCATCACCTGGGAAAATGTTAAGCAGAATTGCCTGACCTTTGACTCTATTTCCACGTTCCCAAACCTTAACACAGCATTGCTTCTCTAAAAGCCACATTTGAGGGAATATCTGTCAGCACCACCAACTCATCCGTGTGTTTATCTGTAGTGGCTATTGAGGAAACCGTACCGTTCATGGTTTTTTGTTTGGTTGTTGTTGTTTTTGACACAGGGTCTCACTCTGTTGCCTAGGCCAGAGTGCAGTGGTGCAATCATGGTTCACTGCAGCCTCAACCTCCCAGGCTCAGGTGATCCTCCCACCTCAGCCTCTTGAGTAGCTGGGATCACAGATGTGAATCACCATGCCTAGCTAATTTTTTTTTTTTGCATTTTTTGTAGAGACAGAGTTTCACCGTGTGGCCCAGGCTGGTCTCGAACTCCTAGGCTCAAGCGGTCCTCCCACCTTGGCCTCCCAAAGTACTGGGATTATAGTCATGAGCAACCGTGCCTGGGCTGAATGCAGTGATTTTGTTTTACAGTGTATTCATACATCAAAGCATCAAGTTGTACACCTTAAATAAATATAATTTTTATTTGTGAATTATACCTCAATAAAGCTGGGAAAAATTAAGTGAAGAAGAACAGATTTTAAATAATCTTACTTCAAAAAAATGATAGGTATGTGGGGTGTGGATATGTTAATTAGCTTGTTATCATCCTTCCACACTGCATGCACAAATCAAAGCATCACATTGCATGCCATAAATATACACAACTATTTTTCAATTAAAAACAAAACTTTAAGTAAAAATAATAAAGTAAACCTTGAGGGATGGTTCGATGTGAGTCAAAGGAAGAAAAAATTATTTTTTCATAAGACAAAGACATACCTCTCCTAAAAAAGATTTCACGAAAGAAAATATTTCTCTGGAAGATTGGGGAAATGAATTAAATAAAAAAATATTTCCAGGTCAGGCACAGTGGCTCACGACTGTAATCCTAGCACTTTGGGAGGCTGAGGCAGGATTGCTTGAGCCTAGGAGTTTGAGACCCCAGCCTAGACAACATAGTGACATCCTGTCTTTACAAACAAAGTAAAAAATACAAATTAGCTGTTTCAGGAGGCTGAAGCGAGAGGATCGTTTCAGGCCGCAGTGAGTTATGACTGCACCACTGCAATACAACATGGACAAGAGAGCGAGACTGTCTCAAAAGGAATGGATATATATATATATATATATATCCATATTTACTTATGAATATATATATATATATATATATATATATATACACACACATAAATAAAAGCCTTTACTAGTATCAAACAAAATTAGGCACATTGCTTCATGCCTGTAATTTCAACACTTCAGAAGGTCAAAGCAGGAGGATAGCTTGAAGCCAGGAGTTCAAGGCCAACCTGGACAACATAGTCAGACCCCTTTTCTAAAAAAAAGTTTTAAAAATAGCAGAGCATGGTGGTTTACACCTGTCGTCCCAGCTACTCAGGAGGCTTAGGCAGGGGGATCACTTGAGCCCAGGATGTTGAGGCTGTAGTGCGCTATGGTGGCACCACTGCACTCCAGCCTGGATGAGAGAGCAAGATTTTGTCTCTTAAAAAAAAAAGAGACAGAGGGTCAGCTTCCATTCAGAGGTAGAGATGCTTTATAGACTATAAGGCTCAAGCCTACAGCAAATGAAAGCAAAGAAATCACTTTCATCCAGTGAACCTCCCAGTTCACTCTGCCTTCTCTTCCTCCCTACCCCACCCAGACCCTGGCCTCCTGCCGAGACACCCTGGCCTTCTGCTTCAAGGAGCGGCTCCAAGCCGTGGACCTGATGAACCAGCCTCTGGACAAGATTCTGGAGCAGGCCGGACGCCACTCATGGGTGGACCTCTCCCGGGCCCCCACCCCACGCACGCAGGGTCAAAAAACGCCTCCTCCAGACCCTGTGGGCACCTATACCCCAGGTAGGAGTTCACCTATACCCCAGGTAGGAGGACTTCACTGTACTGGGTAGCATTGGTGCCCACCCAGACCCCCTGGACTGTCAGTGCAACCCCTCGCCCACTTAGCTGTCCCCTTCCTGGGAAATAGCCCTACAGCGAATGGGAGGGCTGAAAACTTACCTTGCTGAACACGTGTTGTCACTGAGCTTTTCCCCCTGCGTTCTCCTGCCCACACTTGCGTGAGGACTCAGTCACTCAGGCTCTGCTTCTAAGGAAATCAACCCAAGATGCTACTTACACTATCCCTCGCGCCCCCTGGAGTTTCTCTCAGTCCCTCAATAAAGCCCCCTCGCCCAGGGCCCACCACCACCTGAGAATAGAGAGAGGGACAGGGGGTCTGGGAACCGAGGGCTTGGTGCCCCCACGTGCGTCCTGGGCAATTTGCAGCGTGCGCCGCCGCGCTAAACGAAGCCAAGCGGTTGTTGGTCGAGTCCAAGGACACCTTGGTGGAAATGGCAAAAAACGAGGCGGACGTCGGGAAGCAACACCTGCAGATAAGCGACCGCGTGTGTGCCTCACTGGCGCAGAAGGCAAGCGAGACCTTGGAGCTGAAGGTGAGCGCATTACCCGCGGCTGTGGGCGAGGGTGGGACCTGAGAGGAGAGGGGGACTGGGAGCCAGCGTGATCCCCCTGCAATACCCCGCCCGCAGGAAAGATTAAATATGACATTAGGACTGATGAGGGGAACTATCCACCGGTGCACGAAATACAGCCAAGAGATGCACACCACCTGCGGTCTCATCAAGGTACATTTTAGCGTGAGAGCCTTCGGGGATGGAGGCAAGGGTGTCGGCGGGCAGAGGCTGCTTTTCAATGCTCTGCACACCACATTCCACCAGGGTCCTCTGTGGAAAGGTCACGTGGAGGCTGGAGAAAAGCTGGACAGACCGCTGGTTCGCATGTACCAGAGGCACGTGGGCACCCAACTCCCCGAGGCTACGCGCCTCGCACAGGTAAACTCCTTCCCCATACCCCTCTAGGCACAGCCCGGCCAATGGTAAGACTCCTTCTTCAAGCACACCTGGACCAGGTAAGACCCCCCCACACACACACCCAAGTCGGCCTGTCCTTCAACTCCTGCCACGAAGTGGGGTAGGGGGGCTTCAGTACCCACACCTGGCTCAAATAAGTCCCCTCAACCCCTGTCCTTCCCGCTCACATACACCCTCACTGTTCCTCTCTGCCCTTAGTCTCCCTAACCTGTAAAATGAGGAGCATGTCAGCACCCACTTCAAATGGTGGTGGTGAGGACTGATGAGTTCAAGCGTGAAAGGCATGTAGCATGGTGCCTGCATAGAATACCCTCAAAGCACCCGGGTTGTTGTAGTTATTATTATTAGAGATGGAGTCTCACTCTGTCACCCAGGTTGGAGTGCAGTGGTGCGATTTCGGCTCGCTGCAACCTCCGCCTCCTGGGTTCAAGCGATTCTCCTGCCTCGCCTCCCGAGTAGCTGGGACTACAGGCACGTGCCACCACGCCTGGCTAATTTTTGTATTTTTAGTAGAGACAGAGTTTTGCTATGTTGGCCAGACTGGTCTCGAACTCCTGACCTCAGGTGATCCACCCCCCTCGACCTCCCAAAGTGCTGGGATTACAGGCGTGAGCCACCGCGCCTGGCCCTGAGCGGTTATTAAGGACCCCTCCCAAGGAGGCTCCTTCCTACACACCTTGACAAGATGCATTCCCCTCCCTCCGCACGCCCTATCTCGGTTTTTATTTTTTCTCAGGCACACCCGGCCCACCAAGATGTGTTCCCCTCCTTAGCTGTGTTCCTTACACTCGCACCTGGCACAGGTGTGCCTGCCCACCCCAAGTAGCTCCCTGCCCTCGGCTCTGGCTCACGGGTGTGCCTTGCGCCCTCTCCAGGGCACCAACAAGGTGCAGCGCCACATCACGCATGTGGAAAAGAACCTGGACGAGCTGCTGGCCACGCACAGGAACCTCACCTGGGGCCTCAACTGCAAGAACGTCGGGCTTGAGGTGGACCACAGCGTGGTGCGCCTGCGCCTGCGCCAGCGGCACCCGCGCGTTTGCTACGAGCAGGCGCAGCGCCTGGTTAAGTACTGGGACCCGTCCTCGCCGCCGCCGCCGCGCAGCAAAAGCGGCGCCGACCCTTAGTCACCCCAGCGTCCCCCGCCCCAGCCAGCTGGTTGGTTGCTGGCGGGAACTTCGGAGAGCAGACACAGCCCAATGGCCTTCCCACTCCCTTGAAGCACCCTCCCTCCAAGCGCCCTCTAGGACAATTATAATTAAAAATAACAATAATTATCATGTATTAGGCACCTACTGTATATCAGCCACTTACCCGAGGACACGATATGGGCAGCATATCCTGGTAGTTAACAGGATGGATTTGGGTGCCAGCGGGCTGGGATTTAAATCCTGGCTTCCCGTTTTCAAGCTGTGTAGCCTTGGGCAAGTCACTGTCCCTCTCTGGCCTTGGTCTTTCCAACCCGTAAAATGCGGAGCACAACAGCACGCACTTCAAATGGTGATTGTAGGTGGGGCGCGGTGGCTCATGCCTGTAATCCCAGCACTTTGGGAGGCCGAGGTGGGCGGATCACCTGAGGTCAAGACCAGCCTGGCCAAAATGGTGAAACCCCATCTCTACTAAAAATATAAAAATTAGCCAGGTTTGGTGCCGTGAGCCTGTAATCCCAGCTACTAGGGAGGCTGAGACAGGAGAATCGCTTGAACCCAGAAGGTGGAGGTTGCAGTAAGCTGCAGTAGACCACTGCACTCCAGCCTGGGTGACAAGAGTGAGACTGTCTCAAAAAAA